TTCCACCCCAAGAGAGAGGAGAGAGAAATATTTTGCAATTGAGAGACTACCCTTGGACCACCCTACCCAAGCCTTGAACCACACTACCTATACTACCCAATCTAAGTCCACAGTTCATATCATCCATAACCCATACTACCCATAGTCCATACCATCGGCAGTACATACCACTTATACTCTATACTCCCTATACCCCACTTAATCCATCCTAATCCATACATCATACCGAACCCAAATCAACCATTAAACTTTAGTTTGACCATACACCCTAGCTTAACTTAACTATACACCTTGACCTAGACTAACCCTAAACCATACCCACTTGATCCCACTTATCCTAACCTAGCCTTATACCCTAACCCCCTACCTAAGGACCCAATTCCTCTCTCAAGCATCTTCAAGGGACTTTGGAAGCACACCTAGCTGAGTCTACACTTTACCCACTTAAGTACTCGGTCTACCTCTCATATTTTCTTTTTCTTCTTTTCTTCTTCTTCTCCTCCTCCTTTTCTTCTTCTTCTCCTTCTTCCTCTCTTCTTCTTCTTCTTCTTCTTCTCTTTCTTGCATCTTCTCTCTTCCTCCCCTTTGATGGGGTGCCTCACAGCATAATCGCCGGCCTAATCATCTCTCTCTCTCTCTTGCTTAGGCCCCCACGACCTCACCATTGGCCTAGCCCTTCTCCCTCCCTTCGTCCCTCTCTTTCCCTCTCTCGCTCTCTCTCCCCCCGCCCCCATAGGGCTGGCAGCCTAGCTGCTGCCCCACGCCCTTTCCCCTCTCTTTTCCTCTCTTCTCTCTCTCACCCTAAGGGCAAGCGGCCTAGCCGCTACCACGGGCCCATTTCCCCTCACTTTTCCTCTCTTCTCTCCATCTGTCTTACTCTTTTTTCCTCTCTCTTTCCTAAGGGTAGTCGACCTAGCTGCTACCGTACTTCCTCTTCCCCTCTTTTTTCTTTCTTCTCGCCTTTTCTCCTCTCTCTCTCTCTCTCTTTCTTTCTTCGTCCTTCTCTCCCCTTCTCTTTATCTCCATTTTCTGTCTCCCTCTTTCTCTTTTCTCTCTCCCCCTCTTTTTCTCTCTTGATTATCTTTCCCCCTCTTTCTCTCTCCTCCTCTTGTCCCTCTTACCTCCTCTCCTTTTTCACTCATGGCGCCTTTCTCTCTCTCTCGCAATCCTTGCATGTTAAAATATTTTTTAGAAATTTTAAAACCCATTATTTCTCTAGAAACCCCTTTTCTCTCTAAAAAACTATTTTCTCTCTCTAGAAACCCAATCTCTCTTTCTCTCTAAACACTCATGCTCTCTCTAAAAACCTATTCTCTCTAGAAACCCAATTTCTCTTGCTTTTTAAAAACCTATTATTACTTTCTCTAAAAACCCATTATGTTTAGAACCCCAATCTTTATTTCTTTCTCTAAAAATCCATTCTCAATCTTTAGAAATCCAATATCTCTTTCTCTTTCTAAAAGTCTATTCTCTTTTTAAATCTCATTAAGAACCCATTTTCTCTTTAGAAACCCAATCTCTCTCTCTAGGAACCCATTCTCTCTAGAAACCCAATCTCTCGTTCTCTCTTTAAAACGCATTCTCTCTCGAGAAACCCAATCTCTCTTTCTCTTTCTAAGAATCCATTCTCTCTAGAAATGCAACCTCTATAAAAAACCATTCCTTTTCTAGAAATCCAATCTCTCTTGCTCTCTCTAAAAGCCCTTTCTATATCTAGAAACCCAAATTCTTTTTTCTCTCTCTAAAAACGTAATCTCTCTTTCTTTCTCCCTATAAACCCAATCTCTCTCTCTGAAAAGCCATTCTTTCACTATAACCACAGTCTCTCTTTCTCTCTCGAGAAACCTGATCTCTCTTTCTCTTTAGAAATCCAAACTTTCTTTCTCTCTCTGGAAACCCAAGTTCTCTTTCTCTAAAAACTCATTCTCTCTATAAACCCAATATCTCCTTAAAAACCCAATCTCTCTATAAAAATTCATTCTCTCTAGAAACCCAATCTCTCTTTTTCTATAAAAACCCAAGCCTTCTTTCTCTCTCTAGAAATCCAATGTTTCTTTCTTTAAGAACAAATTCTTTTTTTAGAAACTCAATCTCTATCTAAAAACCCACTCTGTCTTGCTCTATCTAAAAATCAATTCTCTTTCTTTAGAAACCCAATCTCTATTTCTCTCTCTAAAAACCCAATCTCTCTTTCTCTTTAGAAACCCAAACTCTATTTCTCTCTCTAGAAATCTAATATCTCTCTTTCTAGAAACCTAAACTCTCTCTCTCTCTTTAGAAATCCAATATCTCTCTAAGAACTCATTCTCTTTAGACATCCAATCTTTCCAATCTCTCAAAAAACATATTCTCTCTCTCTCGAAACCACTCTCTCATTCTCTCTCCAAAACCTATTTTCTCTCTATAAGCCTAGTCTCTCTTGCTCTCTTAAAAATCTATTATCTCTCTGGAAAACCAATCTTTGTTTCTTTATCTAGAACCCAATATCTCTTTCTCTTTTTAAAACCCATTCTCTCTCTCTAGTTACCCATTCTCTCTCTCTAAGAGCCCAAGCTCTTTTTCTCTCTCTAAAAGCCTAATCTCTTTTTCTCTCTCTTAAAACCCAATCCCTCTTTCTCTCTAGAAACCTAAACTCTCTTTCTCTCTAGAAATCAATCTCTCATTCTCTCTCTAGAAATCCACTCTCTCTAGAAACCCAATCTCTATTTCTCTCTAAAGGCTTTGTAGGGGTGGCAATGGACCCGGACCCGACCCATACCTATTGGGTATACTTGACACGGGGTATGGGTCCAAGTTTTGGACCCGCAAGTAGGGTCTGGGTTCGATAAAGGATACTCGGATAGTTCCGGGTAAGGGTACAGGTCCTACTATAGCCGACCCGACGGGTACCTGAACCTGAATTTTTAATACCCAAAGGCCAAAGTCCCAACCCTAAAATCGTTTCAATACTTTTAGTCTTTCTCAAATTCCCCAAACGGCCAAACTCCATCACGATTCTCCCTCTCTACAATTCTCGTTCTCCTAGTTTCTTGGACTTAGCTCTCTCTTTGGATTTCTCTGTCTCTCTGTCTCTAATCGCCAGCCCTAAAAAATCAGTTCTATGTTGTTCACCATTGCAGGTTATAAAAAAGGAAGCTCATAGTAAGGGTAGCAATGGATCCGACCAGACCCGAGACCTGATGGGATAGACTCGGGACTAGATAGGTAATGCGTCCAACGTTTTGACTCAACGGGTCGGGTCCAAGTCCAAAACCTTGGCCCGAATACATTAGAGTCTAGATCAACGTCCAGCAGAACCCGACCCATTGCCACCCCCTAAGGTTTTGGCACGGGATCAATTAAGAGAGATGCTTTTGAAAAAAATATTGAATGGGTTTATAAACTAGTTATGGAGAAATAAGAAAAACTAAACATATTTTTCAAGTTCAAGTTACCGCTAGATCCAGCTTTGAAGAACCAGAACATGGAACTCCAAACTGCTCAGTTAGCAAGAAAGAGAATAAGCAGAAACATTGGACTCATAGGAAGCAGAAACATTAGACTCATAGTGGGGCTAGCGCAGACCAAGCGTGCATAAGAGGGGAAAACTCCATTTTTAGAGATTCTCTCCATTTTTAGAGATTCTTACTCAAAAAAATAAAATAAAATAAATCAGAGAGGAGCTTTTTACTTTCTTAAAATGATTTTATAGGGGGTTTATTATTATTAGTCCATGGCTTATAAACTCTTGTCACAGGGTCTTATGTCGTTTCACTTTTTTAAAAAAACAGGCAGCACACTTAATGTCTTTCTGAAACTATTAATAATAAATTCTTGCATGTTACCGTGTTTCTCTCTCTTCGATCCACCACTCTCTCTCTCTCTCTTTCCCGTTTCTTTCAGTCTCTCTCTCTCCAAAACCCGCTAATCTCCGTTTTTAACCCCCATCTCTCTCTCTCTCTGGCTCTATCTCTCGGTTTCCTTATTTCCAAATCCCTCTTTCTCAATCTCAGTTTCCTTATTTCCACATCCCTTTTTGGCATTCACAGTTTCCTAATCTTCTTTTTTTAACACCCTCTCTCTCTCTAAGTTTCTTTTTGCAGTTTGTTCTGATCATGCGGGCTTCTCTCTCTCTCGCTCTTCTTTTTCTTTTTTTGACAGTCATGCGGGGTTCTCTCTTACATTCAGCGTGAAAGGGGTATTGAATCACCATTAACCATGTGACCCCATATTTGGCTTTCAGGCATGATATCCTGCAACAAAACCGTCATTCATAGCCCCCTCCTCCTCTCCATTAACCTAATATCTCGACCATGTTCTTCCCTTCTTCATAATAAATACTCGTTTCTTACTTACTATACTCTCTCTCCCCTTCATTTCCCTTATTGTCTCTATCGAAATCATCCCACACAGATTCAGTCCCTCCATCTCTTTCCTATTCTCTCTCGAACCTTTCATACTTATCTCTTTACCCATAAACGTTAAACCCCAATTTTTAGAGTAACTGATTTCATTCAAATCTCTCTCTTTTTGTCTCTCCCGCCATTTGGAAAAGATTTCCTTCAAATTTGTTCAGCTTTTTTCGAGAAAGAATTGCCATTTGGAGAGGGGTTTCTTTAAAGCACTCTCTCTCCTCTTCAATGTAAATAGTGTTGTAGGATATATACGTGTACAGGCAAGGTCGTTTTTGCAGGCCCTTGTGTGTGTACTACTGTAGCGAGAGAGAGAGAGGTGGCTTTTGCAGGTTCTGAAGAGAGAGAGAGAGAGAGAGAGAGAGAGAGAGAGAGAGAGAGAGTAGGTGGTGGAGAGAGAGAGAGTAGGTGGTCGTTCGGTTCGTACGACGACTAGTTAGGTTTAGGTTAAGTTAACTTACTAGTGTTGTTTTCGTTAGTTGTACGTAGTAGTAGTGTCGTT